TCCATAAAGAAATAGTTCTTATAGCAGTGATTCCCAACCTTTTTCAAGCCATGACCCCTATTTATAATAGCCAAATAACCTGTGAATCCCCTGCCATATTTGTCTAAATAGGCATCTCTTCTCAGAAAGGAGAGGCTTTTTTCTCCCCTTAAGGGCCTGTTTCTCATACATATACATACACACTAAGTTTAATATCCCTCTCCAAAAGGTCAAGAAAGAAATTATTTTACAAAAGCTGCAACATGTATAAGGCGACCTGCGACCCTCTAGAAAATGCTTTGCAACCTTCTTGGGGGTCCCAACCTCCAAGTTTGGAAATAATTGCTACAGGATATTATCCACTTGAAAGACAGGAGTTAACTACTGCTGAGGTTTAGTTGATATTTACAATACCTCAAAATAAAAATGAAATGCCCTCAGACATTTGATGCCTGATAGGAAGGAGAAGATGGCATTTCATGCCAGGTCAGGAAAGAAATTATTTGACAAGAGCTGCAACACGTATAAGGCGACTCGCAATCCTACAAAAAAACACTTTGCAACACTTTGTGGATGTCTAGGATTGGAACATTTTGTGGACTTCTAGGATTGCAGTTTCTTAATTTTAACCAGCAAATGTTCCCGCTTGAGACTGTTTTTGTGGACCTCAGCTCTCCCTTGGGACCTCTGAGGAGTAATGATCCACTTTTTAAGTACTGTAGGTCACAGTGCCCCTCTGTACTGTTTAATATCTTAAAATATGCATTACTCAAAACTGGAAGTAGACTTCTAGATCTTTTTATTTTTGCGGTCTGTGCAGCCCCTGCATAAAATTACCCCCAGGACCACCAAAATTGCCCACTTCTAGTCTAGATCATTAGTGTTACCATTATCTTTAGTTTTGCGACCTTCTTCTGCAGTTAAAAATATCTTACTACTTTGAATTTAAAACAGAATGAAATCTTAATCTACAGCTATGAGCTGCAAGGGTTTATTCCAGGTCATGAATTATTTTTCCAGAACATTCAGATTTGAGAGAACAATTGGAGAAGAATCCATGTAACAGCTGGAGGAGATACGCCTTTAAGCTAGCTATTCATGCAAAAGTGTAGAAAGCACCACACAAATTGTATAATTGTTGTTATATAACCATTGTTAAGTTGCTTAGAAGGCACAAGCAATATAAACTGAATTGATGTGGAAAGTGTAGGCAATTAAGAATTTGACGGCATCTCATATGAATGTCTGCTGGTATGACATTTATTGTTTTTATGTAAATATAGCTTTTAAAAACTGACTGTACAGTATTATTGAAAAAGATCCCCCCATTACCTTTTGTTACCTGTTATTGAGCAGATAAATGTCTCTCCTACAGCAAAGACCTTCAAGTGTCAGGGGTAAAAGCTTGTAGAGGTCAAGAGATGTTTAGGTGTGGTTAGCCTTAAATCCAGAACCCAATCCCATCTTTGCATGTTCAGCATGAAGATCCTCATCATACAATATGCAAGCTTTCGTGGATCAAACACCATTTCATCAGACTTGCATCAGTGTGAAGAACTTACAGTCCAAAAGCTCATGGCAAGATGGATTTTGCTAGGAAAGTTACTCTTAGATGTAAAGTCCAAAAGTTCTTGGCAAGATGGATTTTTCAGGGTTGCTAACGATACATCATAAAATGCATTTATGTCTGTACATTGTTTTTCTTCACCTGAGATTTCAATGCAGGGGTGAATTATGCAGACCACACAATTGTAGAGAGGTAGTTTGTTCCCTTCACTGCTCAGTCTTGCCAGTGCGTTTTATCCTTGAATGTATTAGTTATATTAAATCTGCTGGAGAAGCAAGAGACTGTAAAAACACCAGGTAAATATATTTATTTGCTCTAGATGCTTGTGCTTCGTTTATATAGATTTATGTAAGTCCACATGTACATGTGGCCTCATACTAGTATGATTTTTAGTTGCAGTGTTGGTTAGGATTTGAGAGACCTGGGTTCTTGTCAACCCCTTGGCTATGTAACTCATGAGATGACTTTGAGCTACAGTAGTCCCATTCTCTCAGAATGATGTACAGTGGTGCCTCGCAAGACGATTGCCTCGTGGGGTAAAAAACCCGCAAGACAATTGGTTTTCGCGATACCTATGGTGTTTCGCAAGACGGTTTTTTCTATGTCCATGCTTCGCAAGACTTTTTTTCCCCCCGAGACCGATGCTTTGCAAGTCGAATAAATTTCACTCGCCTTCATACGATTTTTTGACAAGACAATGATTTTCGCGGAACGAATTAAAATCGTCTTGCAAGACACCACTGTACAACCCAAGGTTGTAGTGAACATAAAGTAGGCAGGAGAAGGACCGTGCATGCAGACTTGAGTTCACAGGAGGAAGAGTGAGGTATAAATGTAACACTTAAAAATACATTTAAGCTTTGATGTAATTATCACAGACAGTACTTTCTTCATTTCATTTTTCTTATACACCACTGCTCACAATCATACCTACAGGCATAGATTCAATTTTTGTATAAATACTTGTCAACTTAAGATATCACTTCATATATGAGAGCTCTGCTGGGCAGGAAGCTAACAAACACTTTAACTAAATTAAAAAAAACAGGCATGCGCACACACCACACAAGCGATACCCAGTGTGATTCAGTGGGTAAAATTACGGACTAAGACTCAGAAGGCTTGGGTTCAAAACCCTTCTCAGCCATGGACACTCACTGGGGGTGTGGAACTGGTAAAACCACTCCTTATATATCTCACCTTGAAAGCCCTATTAGTTTCTCCGTAAGTTGGTTCCGAGTTGATGGGATGGAACATAACATATATACATACACACGCTTAAACTAAATGAAAAATATATGTCTCAAAGTGGCCTCTGAAAATTTCTGCCAGAGTGACTCTTTAGGCTTAAAGCTTCCATAAGATTTTTTGTTGTTGCTACTGACAGTTATAAGTAATCCTCTGAAAATTCCCTACATTGGCATTTCAACACATGTATATTTTTAACCCAGTCACGTTCTTTTGCCAAGATACTCCCTTTGTCTTGATAACTGGGTTATTGCCATGCAAGTGAAAATACTTTTCTTAACAATTATAACTGAATCCCTGAACCCCAATTTAGCAGAAATTTTAATCTTTTTTATGTTTTAATCTTTCAATTGTATTTTAAATCATATATTGTTTAATGTATCTTTTAATACAGTATTTAACTTATTGTGTTTCTAAATTGTGTGAATTTTAATGTTGTGAGCCGCTTTGGGACCCTTGTTGGGAGAAATGCAGCATATAAATAAAACTAATGATAAGGTTATTGTGCTCAACCCTGACCCCAGTCTGTGCCCAAGCGAGACCTTTTTGATCCATATGCTAGGCTGCTACTTTATGGGGCTGGGCTGGACCAATTTGCCAAAAAATGGAAGGATCACTTTAAGGAAGATCAGGTAACCCTATGTGTTACGTGTGTACAGAACTCTGTATGACCCGGATTGCAAGTATTTTTTTCTAATCGATGGTGCCTTCTATGGCCATGTTTTCAGTATGCTGACTCTTGTCTTCTATTGAAACCCCAATGCCTTTCCTGTTTTCCTATGCTAGGAAACACAGTTGCATTGCTGAGGGAATGCACCAGATAATCTGATGGACCCTTTCCCCTCTTGACAAAGGGATTTGACCCCAATGCCTGGGTCAGCCACACATAATGTTTTTCTGTTCATGACCTTTTAACTGCTTGATTGTAAGTCAGAATCCATTTAGGGAATGTCCAGGGATCAAAGGCTGAAATCCCGGATACAGTGACCACCTTATGACAGACATGGCTATGAAATGTCAGAGGTCACCTCAGGATACAAAGACTTGCTAATCGTTTGGGGGGGTGGAAATCCTAATACTTTGCAAAAAGGGCCTTCCATCCAAGATGACTGAGCAAACACTAGCATTTAAGAGCACTGTGGGAGGAATCAGGAAAAGAATTAGCAGGACATGTAGAGTCTGCCTGGTTACATCCAATACATAGTCCCCTCATGTCATTGCCAGTTCTCTTCATCAAATGCAGTTCTGATTTGGATTTTCCTTTTGTACGTAGCAAAAGGGCTGGTGACTATTTTAACAAAGGTCATAGAGAGTAGACTAGCCCTTGGTGTTCTGTATAGCATCAAATGAGTTCAATCGATGGGTCTCTCACTTATCAAAGCAATTCCTACCCAGCAGAATATGGTTGGTGTCCTGAACGGTAAACCTTATTTATGCAGATCTTTAAAACATTGCCTTTTTCGGACTAAAACTCTTTAGACGGCATAGTCATTTTTTCCCAAGTCAGTTCAAGAAACAAAATATGATATTAAGTAGAGCACAGAGATAGTATCAGAAAGACCAAATAAGTTGGTTTTCCTATCCACTGTGGTTTTCAGAGAAGGCTGTGCTCAATATTCCCTCTAGCATCTGAAGAGCATAAGAGATGATGCCTTCTCTTAACGCCTGTCTATGTCATTTAGACATTCAGTAAAACATTTTATCAAAACCTGTGAGAAGAAGGAGCTGGCTAAACATGCTCCCCATCCCCGCTCCTTACTCTCATATGCGAAACCTGAATCTGAAGGAGAGAGATGTCTGTATTTCTGGAGGCTCTCCAAGAGAATGGAAGCCCTCAAAAAACATGGACATGCTTCTCACATAGAGTTCACTCCTTGGGTTAAGTTCTCTACCTGACCACCCCAGTCCTTGTTCTCATGGGTTTAAAATTAATATTTATACTGAATGCTTGCATAGGGCTTCTGTTTAAAATAAACTTGTTTAGATGTGCTTTTTCATAACATACAATGATAAGTTGACTCCTGCTGGTTTTGTTATTGATGCTTGAGACTTTGAATGTGCAGGTTTATGGTTGTTTTGCTGATTTATTGTTTGATAAAGCCATCTCTGTCATTCTGTTTTAGATGTAATAATTGATTAGGACACTTGTTACCAGACACCATTTCATTTCAAATGAGTCTTGCCTTTTCCTTTTTTTCCTGCACAGCATATCAATGGGAGCCGACCACCACCTCATTTTGTGTATGACCCGTCAATGTTTGCCTTCCGATCCCTGAGCACCTTGAAGCCTCTGAGCCCGGTAGCTCCAGTTGAAGAACCATCATGTGCCTACTGAAGGAAGTCCTCAAAACTCTCAGGAATCATATCAATCAATGGGCCAGCAGGGACATGTTATGGGAGGACCTGAATCTGAAATAACCACTGAGATCCTTGGTTAACAGGAGATGAGTGATTTTTCTCATGTCTGGTTTTCATGCTGTTGTGACTTCGGAATATTGACAGGAAGGGAATGTATGTGCATTGAGCAAGCTAGGCTTGTAAGCCATAGTGCAATTAACAAGATGGCTTCTGGTAAACAGAAAGCTAGTGTCATATCAAAGAATGTTGGGATGTTGCCCTAATGAAGGAACGGTCATGCATGTGCTGGAGTGTGATCAATAAGCAGGTTTCATTGGTTTCCTGCTCCAAGTCTAGCTGACCTGTTCTTTCTACACAGGGCTATCCAAGTGGACTTGATTACTCTCCAAGGATCTCACTGTTGACTGTTAATGTCAAGACAGAGCTGGCCTTATATAGAGCCGGCGTTAGCTGTCTGTGGAGGATGTTTTGTTCACATGTGACAAAGTTATAGGCGAAAGTGAGAAGTGTACAGGAGAGGTGAATGGCTTCAATAAATCACAAAATATTTGCTTTTTTTGAACTACAACTCAGAGAGTTCCCAAAGTTGCATGGCCAGCGGCCGTGCTTTTGAGGAATTCTGGGAGCTGTAGTCCCAAAAATGCAAACACACAAACCTCTAATAAACAGTAGTAGCATATGCTCTAAAAAATACTTTCTCCATGGGCGGGTGGGGGGAACGTTTGAAAAAATATAAGGAGAAACAGAGCATGCTGTGACAGATCAGATGTTGGTTTTATCTAGAATCCATGAGGAAATGTGAAGAGGCCCAATTTCCTCTCACTTCAGCCCCTTCCACAATCTTATGAGCTGTATGTGTGTCACTTCCTTATATCTCTATTCTCTGTGTCTGTAGAACATGTATGAAAACTGCAACTGTAGGTACAGGTGCTAAACCGCATGCTTGGCCCCACCTGTTTGTCCCAGTATATTGGAGCTATGCTGGAATAGCAGTGCAAGGGATAGAAGCCCCAAGGTGGGTGGAGGAGTGCCTTTCCTTTTGTATGTAACTCCACCAGTTTAGGTTTATTTTACGTAGTGGAGACAACAATTTGTGAGTGTTCCCACCCATTTGCATACGTAGCTCATGCAGGTATAGGAGATGGGAAAGCAGAGTGACAGAACTGTTTCAATAACAGGTTATGACACCATCCTCACACAATGGTGATTCCCTAACTGTGTTGCTGAAATATTCATGGAAGGGAATGCGCTAGCCTCCCCTCCTTCCCATGTTCCTTTGCTTGCTAGAAGGCAGTGTGCCTGATAGGAAGAGCATCTTCTACCCTTGCAGGATGTCCACATGTGCAAAAACATGGAATAATAGGGGTTCATTCTCATATAGAGAACCTCTGTCGGTAGAAGAAGCACTATCTTTCAGATGCAGTGTTTTTCTACAGCCAAAGTGATGCTGGAAAAAGTGAGGCTAAACGACATGCTTGATGACCACCAGAATAGACCTGGAGAAACGGAGCATTTCTGCTGTTAAGTGGCTGAAATTCTATAGGGTCTCCTGCTAACTCAGTGATACCTGGTGTGTACTGAGCTTTAGGAAATTGAAGTTTTACACTGTTCTCTGTGACTATATGATTTCAAGGGTATCTACTCAAATGTTTATCTTATCTGTGTACTAATAATGTGGTGGATAATCTTGGAAGCACTCACGCTGCTTGATATCCATTTTAAAAAGATCTAAAACAATTATTTGGGAAATGCAATTTTTGCTGGTTTCAGATCATTGTCTTTTGCATTTAGGACATTAGGTTTTGATTTCTGCCATGGAATGTCGCCCATGTGGACAAGGCCAACTTCACTCGTTGATGATGTTGGAAGCTGAAGGCCAGAAACTCTTTTAAGCTATGAGTGTGCATTAACAATGCTGCACGTAGTCCTTCCTGTAGTGATGTTGTGCTACTGGCAGGGAGCATTAAGATAAAGGGACCCCATGTATTGATTTCTCATTACACAGTTCCACATCAGGTTCATAGATGTGAACAGCCCTCTTTTCCACCAGCATATTGATAAGAGAAAAATTAAGCTGTTCTTTGTCCATTGGGTATGCTCTGATGAGAATAAAATCAGCAATGCAATGCAACAAGACAGATGTTTAAAAACATGTGTTTTTCTCTTTTTAGTGGAAGAAGAGAATTCATTTTCTTCCTTTGGATCTTAACTGTGATTTTTTGCAGGCACCATGGTATGATGGGATCTGTCGTCATGAGCTTGATTTTTCTATAGAAATGACAAGGGCAAATGTGAACTGTTTTTACTGTTTCTGTAAGTTGGGTTTGGCCTGCAAACAGCCAATGTGTGTCATGGTGAGGAGAGGTATGGAGGAGCTTACTCCTCTATCAAAAGCCACCCTCTCTTGTGCAGAATGCCTTTTTTTCTTTTGCTGAATAGCTGTCTACTTTTGATTGGCCAAGACGATACCGTCCCATCTGACGCTCCGAGGTGAAAGAACAGAGGGGAAGGTGACCTCTGTTGAATGTGGCCTTCCTTTATTACTTAATGTAACATTGCTCTCTCTCACTGGTTTTTCAGTCAGAACAATAAAGTTAAACTTTAACTGCTGCTATATTCACTCCTGTTTCCTCGCTCTTTGCTCCACGTCTTCTTTGCTTCTTTTGTAGTATGCATGGGGCCCTCAGAGCTCTGTCCAAAAGTGTTCTGTACATCCCACAACAAGGAGCTGCCTCAATCAGAATGAGCTGTGCCTGTTCAGGGCCTTCTGCAGAAATGGATTTGGCTGTCTTCAGATTATTGGAATGGCACAACTCTTCCCCATCCACCACCACATTTGTCTATTTTCCAGAGTTCTAGAATCCCAGAAGCCATGCTGTGCTGGCTGGGAGACTGCAGGCGATGTTGTCCAAAATGTACCTACCTTTTTTCCAAACTGCCTTTTACTGGTCAACCAAAATGGGGGGAAAAATCAATGTGCAGTAATTTTTCCCCAAGAAATCTCGCCCATCCTGCACAACAGAAGGAACAATCTGGTGTTAGTCTTCTTTCCACAGAACGGTGGTGACAAGGTCATTTTCAACTGTTTGGCTGTATAGTATCCATAAAGGATGGCTTTCAAATTCCTGGAGGCAGGAGGACAATGGCTTGGGTTGAGGATGTTTGAAGAGTAAATGCTCCTGAAAATGTGGGTCCACACAAAAGCTACCTAATGATCCATCCGTTATTCAGAGTAGGTTTAGTTGTTCTTGTCAGGTGTATGGATGCTTGGCTGCTAGTAAGTAGAGGGTTACTCTGAGAAGCAACCTTGAGGCAAGGAAAGCCTGTCCTGGAGTTCATTAGAGTGGGAGTTTTTTAAACCTATTATTATTGGTGGCAGAATTCATTATACCGGTAGTTCTCCAAAATTGTCCCAGCTTTGGAAGCACTTCTGTTAAATATGAGATCGTGTTATTTGTTGGGGAAATTGACCTTACCAGTGCTGTTTGTCATGACAGATCAGATTGTAAAAGTTACTTTATTTGGACTACAGTCCCCAAGATCCTCACTGGCTGTGTTGCAGTATCAAAAAACCAGCTCGTCCAAATTTAGAGAGATAGAACAGGTCTTCACATTGAGGAATGGATGGTCAGCTACAAGTCACAACAAACAAATTACATGTTATGCTGTTCATGTTTTCTTTTTTATCTTACAAAAAATTATCTTTGTTGTTGTTTAGTCATTTAGTCGTGTCCGATTGAAGGAAAATTAGCTTTGTGGGCCTTAGATATGAAACAAACTCTTGATGAAGCATGGACACCTGTACTGTACCTTCAAAACAGTCCACCTCTGTTTGGGATGCTGTTTGCCCCAGATGTAGTATTTGTTGTTAGTAGCATGTTTGGGGACAAACGGCACCAAAATTGGAGATTTGTGGTGGGATATTGATGTTGGGTCTTGAAGCAGATAGGAAGCATTTGCCAGAGGAGGCTCTCAACCCACCCTCCCTTTCAAAATAGAAGTGGCACACCAACATGACTAATGTAACATGTAGTTTCTCCCAAGTATGTCAATGATTACAATGGCAGAAATACTAAGCTAAATGCAGACTTTACACTGTTCATTCTTTGGGACTGTACCTTCTGAAATGCCCCAATGCCCACTGGGGGATTCTAGGAGTTGTTGGTCCAGAAAGTAACTTTTCTAAACTTTGACTAAGTGAATGTATGATCCTGCATGAAAAATTTTCTTGTTGCTTGTTCAAATTACAGTGGACCCTTGACTTACGGAATTAATCCGTATTGGAACGGTGCCCGCAGGTCGAAAAGTCTGTAGGTCGAGGCTCCATTGACCTACAATGCATTGAAAACTGATTAATCCCATAACTGGCAGTTTTTATTCTATTTTTGTTCCATTTTGGTTTTTTTCTGGTCTGTAAGTCGATTCTCCGGCTGCAAGTCGAACCTAAATTTTGCGGCCAGAGACGTCTGTAACTTGAAAAGTCTGTAAGTGGAGCCATCTGTAAGTCGAGGGTCCACTGTAGAGTAGACAAAGAGGATTTTTTTCGGAAGAACAACCTTCAGAACATGGCCAAAGAGCCTGAAAAACCCACAGCAACTATCAATTTTTTTTGAATTGTTAATTTTTTTAAAAGTTGAATTAACAATTTTTTAAAAATCCTTTTTTTCTGTACCAGGAGGCTACTCAAATTTGAACAAGCAACAAGAAAATTTTCACAGAAGATCAGATGTTCACTTAGCCAAAAGTTTTTCTCTGCTGGTGATACTTTGGATTCAAAGTCTTGCTGCAATGTTGCCCGATGATGTTGTTGTGTGTGTGTGTTTTTAAAAAAATCAGATCCTGACTTTCATCTATGATAGAAGTGAAAGGGAAGTCACCCTTGTCTGGAAGTCACCTCTCCAGTCCCTGATCAGATCCAGACCTGGTTAGCCTCAGTAAGGAGGTTGCTTCATACGCCAAGTTCAGACCATGATTAAGCAGGTTATGCCACTGTTAACATGAACTTGACCTAGAACAATGATTCCCTACATGTTCTTGAACTAAACTCTCAGAAATCCTGACCAGTACAGCTAGTGGTGTAGGCTTCTGGGAGTTTTAGTCCAAAAACATCTGAAAACCCAAGGTCAGATGTTCTCCACAAATCTAGAGGATAAGAGAAGCCTGCTTAGTCCTAATGAACAAACTGTTGTTCAGTTAATTTGTACAGCTGTTCTTATGTATTCTACTATGTTGGCTGTTGTTTTAGATGCCATCACTCTTTTTTTCAGTTCAGAGGTTGCATTTGTTATATAAACCTCACACAGCTGGTTGGCAGTTGGCCTTGCGGTTGAGCAGCCAGGACTGTTCCAGTAACTTTAGGCTGCCAGCCCTCATCCTGTTGAGTCCAAACTACATTGGTGCAGGTGTTTCCCCTTCAAGGTGAAAGCAGATTATTTAGGTCCTGAGGTGGAGAGAAAAGCAAAATGAAGACAGTGCTTCTAAACCTCAGCCATCTTGTGTATTGAAACCTTCCTAGATGTTGCCCACAGACAGACACACAGACACACACAGACACACAGACACACAGACACACAGACACACAGACACACACACACACACACACACACACACACACACACACA